CCAGGACTGGTTGACTCACTGCAGGAAGGTTCTGGAGGGCAAGGCCCTGGGGTGTGTGTTCCTGTTGTGGGGGGGGGGAAGGGGGTTGGTCAGAGGGAGACGGGCTTTTGCCGGATCCAGTGACACAGGATCATGTACGAGGCTCTGAAAATATAAAGAATACTGTTTATTCACACTGTCGCTTGTCCAGCGGGGGGACGGGGGGTGTCAGTAACTACTGTGTGCATCTGAAATAAATCTGAGTCCCTCAGGACAGCAAAGGTCTTCTGTACAGAGTCCTGCGTGCAGAGGCCCCGAGGCTGGTGGGCAGCCGGCCAGTGGTCCTGGGTCCTGCGCACGGGCCTGGGGAGGAGCTGAGATAGGTCTTCCCCCATGAGCCCAGAGCCAGAAGAACTTCGGTGAGCCCGGTGGAAATCAGAAGTCAGACAGTAAACAAGTTAATAGCCTCCTCTGTTCTCTGTAAGCCTATGAGCTGGAAGCGAACACCATGCCCCCTATGTCATCCAAGGCGGGCAGTGGTACTCAGCCGCAGGCAGCGTGCCCAGACTTGCAAAGAGTCGATGGAGGAGAGGGACGATACTGGTGAATACAAACCCGAACCCCAAATGTAGGGTCACTCCATAGAAGTGGGTGCCCGGTGACCCCATTCCTAAAGCGTTTGGTGCAAAGGGTTAAGTTCTTTCTTTTTCTTTCTTCTTTCCTTCGTTCGTTCGTTCGTTCGTTCCTTCCTTCCTTTCTTCCTTCCTATCTTCCTCCTTCCTATCTTCCTCTAGCCTTATTTTTTAAGTTATCTCCACACCCAATGTAGGGCGGGAACTCACCACCCTGAGATCAAAAGTCATTAGCTCCAGTGACTGAGCCAGCCGGGCTCCCCAAGGGCTCAGATCTTGAATCTGAATAAGTACTCACGGTGGCAAAATGCAGTTCCCAAATCCTAGGCTCCCTCCTCCTCTCCGGGAAATTTAGGAAGTGGGAACCAGCAGGAAGTCTCCAAAAGATTTTGAGGGCCAGAGAGAGAGTTCCTTCAAAATGCAGCCGCCCCTTGTGACAAGAGCCTGAAGAACAAGGCCAGGGCTGACTTGCAAGCTAAGAAGAAACCAGCATCTGATGACCTTGGAAATGAACCTCCAGGCTGGGTCAGGCCACCTGCCAGCAAGGCCATGGGGCATTTGGCAAGAAGGTTTCAGAGGTCACCTGGCCCCCAGCAGCAGGGCCCCGCCCAGTGTCAGGGCCCCTTTGGAAGGGAGAATTCTTCCTCCCCCTCCAGGGCCTGGGCTGGACTAAGAATTCAATTTACATGGGGGCACCTGGGTGGCTCAGTCCTTAAAGCATCTGATTTCAGTTCAGGTCACGATCTCTGGTTTGTGAATTCGAGCCTCGCGTTGGGCTCTGTGCTCACAGCTCAGAGACTGGAGCCTGTCTCCCTCTCTCTCTGCCCCTCTCTTGCTCACATTCTGTCTCTCTTTTTCCCTAAAAAATAAATAAACATTAAAAAAAAAAAAAGAATTCAATTTACACAGAACAGATCAACATGACAAAGGCCCAAAGCTGTACACCCACGTATGGAGGCCCAGTAACGAAACTGAGACCCAAGAGATGACCAAGTCAGGCAGCTTTCACACAACCTAGACGAAGAGACAAGAGGCTTGTGAGGAATTGACGGGTTAAGGAAAACAGGTGTTTGCGAGCTTTAACTAGTAAGGAATTCTCCACGGAGTTTGGGCTGAGGCTGTATGGGAGTGAAGAAGTCAGCAGGTTTGTTTCCACAGCTTTCTCGGCACTCAAGGCCCCATCTCTGGTGATAAGGGTATCTTTTCACTTGTTACGGCACAAAGGGCATTCACGTGGGAGGTTTGTTTCCCCTGGAAGGAGGAGGGTCTGAGGGCCTCTGCCACATGGACACATTCTGGGGCGGCCTGTCCTTGACCCCACAGCCCCACCCTGCTGGTCCTCAACTATCAAAGCCTTAACACTTCCTACGGGATCGCCATCTGGGTGTGCAGGCCTGGAGTCTGTGGCTTTAACCACATGCTTTTACGTGGTTCTGGTGCTCAGCGAAGTCGGGGACCCTCCACCTTGAGAGCACCCCAGTGCAGACATACCCGCACCACAAGACAGCGATGGGCCAGTGTGCAGGCATTTTTCATGTTAAGACCTGCACCCCGTTAAGCCCATCGCTAGTTCCTGTGGCATCTGTGGAGGACACACAGTGAAGGTGCTCCCTACTCCCCATGACACCTGTAAACACGGAGTCAGCATCAGGAGCCCGCACCCTAGGGGGTTAGAAGACACTTTCCTGAAAGAGTAAAATAATGACTCTCATGCAAATAAAAGGTGAACATATGTCCAAGACTTTATTTAGCTCATTAATGAAGGAGGGAGCCAGTAGGTGGGTTTTGGGTTTGTTTTTTGTTTTTTAATGGTTCAAAGAGGAAACTAAAAGAGAAGCCGGTTAGGAATGTGGCATTGATGGGCGCACAGTGGCTCAGTCGGTTAAGCATCCCACTCTTGATTTTGGTTCAGGTCATGATCTCACGGTTCGTGAGTTCGAGCCCCGTGTTGGGCTCTGTGCTGACAGTGCAGAGCCTGCTTGGGATTCTCTCTCTCCCTCTCTCTCTCTCTCTCTCTCTCTCTGCCTCTCCCTCGGGGCAAGCAGTCTTTCTCAAAATAAATAAATAAACTTTAAAAAAGGGAATGCAGAAATTGAGATCGGTTAATAGATGCAAAACTAGGCTGTAGAGTCACACTTACACCAGGGAAAGCTCACCTGCATATATAGGGATGTAAGGACACAAGTCTAAACCAGACTGACTCCATAATAGGCCTTAAGTTTCCTCTCTAAACTAGAAGGCCTAAGTTTCAGTTTCCCTGAAACTATCAGGCAGCTACACATTACCCAAGGCCGAAGAAACTGCCTACCACTTCACTCCACCACACTACCTTGGCAAAGTCCAATCAAGAAAGGCCAGCAACTATAGATAAATCTCAGTTGCCTAATGTAAAAGTTAACCCATTAGTCGCCGAACAAGACTCTAGGCTCGCTCTATGGTTGGTTGAATTTAAGGGTACCCTGAATGTTGTAATTGGATCCCGCCAAAAGTAACAAATACTCTAGACAATGTGTATGGTTAAACCCGCTGTCAATGNATGTAAAAGTTAACCCATTAGTCGCCGAACAAGACTCTAGGCTCGCTCTATGGTTGGTTGAATTTAAGGGTACCCTGAATGTTGTAATTGGATCCCGCCAAAAGTAACAAATACTCTAGACAATGTGTATGGTTAAACCCGCTGTCAATGATATTGTATAATTATGATTGGATCACTGTTTCCATGCCACAACTTCTGTAACTCCCCCATCACAAACCCCATAAAAACCCTACTCTGCCTTTGTTCGGGGCTCTCAGCACGGATCCACGGCGCTGGTGAAGTCTGTGAGCCCGAACTCGAGCTCGTAATAAAGCCCTTTGCCTTTGCATGCGTGACTCGGTCTCCCTGGTGGTCTCTGGTCGGTGAGGATACTGCGATCTGGGTATAACAGGGACAAGAGTTATTTCCATTACCATCAATTTTCTAGAACTTTCAGAGTTGTGAAATAGCTCAAATATTATGAAAGGCACAGAGACGTGCTCATCAGACACTTTGCAAGGCTGATTTAGGCTTTGCTGAACATTACAAAGAACACCTAGGAATTTTTTTTTAATTCCAAAGACTTGTGTTTCCTGTTTCATTGTTTTGCAGACAGATTCTAAATGCTCAAATCTCAAACTATGCTTCAATGTCAACTATTTATTTTTCCTGTTCTTCAGACACACCTCTAATTATGCTAAAAGATCATTTTTTAAAAACAGGTAAAATCAGGAGGTGGCTGGGGGGCTCAGTCAGTTGAGCATCTGACTCTGATTTCGGCTCAGGTCATGACCTCTTGGTTTGTGGATTCGAGCCTGGCCTCAGGCTCTGTGCTGACAGCACGGAGCCTGCCTGGGATTCTCTCTCCTTCTCTCTGCCCTTCCTCTGCTCACACACTCTCTCTCTCAAAATAAATAAACTTAAAAAAAATAATAAAATAAAAACAAATAAATAAAAAATCTTCTGGACAAGGCCAAATGTCCTGTGGGATAGAGTGGAGAGGGTAAATGAGAGCAAATTCACCCCATTTCCCACTGAAGCACAAACGCCTGCCTATCAGTGTGCAGGAGATGGAGGACACGCTGCCTGGGTCACCCACTCCTCCCGGGAGCTGACAATCCCAGCTCTGTCCGGGGACGGTCACCCTGACTGTCCACGCTCTGTCCCGGGACCTGTCACCCTGTGCTCTTCTCGAAACACTCTGCCAGTATTGACAAGTCTTCCACTCAGTGTGTTTCAATAAACAAACATTACCTGTTTTTTGGTAATCTGTACCCCCAACTCCCAACGCGGGGCTTGAAAATCAAAAGCCCCACGCTCCACCGACAGCCTTTTAGTGTAAGTATGTCCCTGCAATATCTGGGACACACTTATACTAAAAAAATTCTGGTGTTAACCTGAAATTCGAATTCACCTGCGAAGATGTCTCTGTATTTGTCAGCCCGGCAGCCCTGGCCGTGATGGGTGGCACGGTGATCATCACCGGCCTGGAGGCCTTGGAACCTGGTGCTGCCAGTGGCCGGGTGTGCGTCAGCGGTAGTGTGTGGGCCGGGTGCTTATCCCTGTAAGACCAGGGCATCGCTGCAAGGCTCCCACGAGGTGACTTCTGCAGAGCAACTGGGACAGTGTCTGGCACAAAGTCGGAGACCCACCGATGGTAGTGAATCTAGTCCCCCGACCCCCTTCCTTCATGGCTGCAGGTGGCGAGCCTGCAAGCGGAGGCCACAGCCCTGCAGCTCCGTGCCAGGAGGCCCCACCCGCCACCGGGAGGCCCCACCCCGCGGCGCAGAGGCCACACCCCTCCCGGAGGCCACACCCCGCGGCGCCGAGGCCACACCCCGCCGGGAGGGGGCGCCTCCCGCTGCGGGAAATCACTGCCTCAGAGCAGCGGACCGCAGTCCAGCCGCAGCGCCCCGGGTCTGGCCGCGCCCCTGCAGACACAGGCCCGCCCTCGCTCGCCGCGCCCCTGCAGACACCGGCTCTCTCTCGCCGCGCCCTTGCAGACACCGGCCCTTGCTCGCTGCGCCCCTGCCCAGACACCCACCATGGCCGGCATCGCGGCCAAGCTGGCGAAGGACCGAGAGGCGGCGGAGGGGCTGGGCTCGCACGAAAAGGCCGTCAAGTACCTCAACCAGGACTACGAGGCGCTGCGGGACGAGTGCCTGGAGGCCGGGACGCTCTTCCAGGACCCCTCCTTCCCGGCCATTCCTTCTTCCCTGGGCTTCAAGGAGCTGGGACCCTACTCCAGCAAGACGCAGGGCATCGAGTGGAAGCGGCCCACGGTAGGTAGGGGGCGCGGCGGGGTGCGCGGGAGGGCCTGGGAGTGGTGCGCGGGGCCAGGGTGGGGCGCGGGCAGTGGGGGCCGGGGTGCGGGGTCCAGGCCTCTGGCGGAGGGCCTGCGCCGGCCGCCGGGAGCGCGCCCCTCCCGGTTACTCGGTGCCCGCGCGTCCGCAGCGCGGCCTGGTCCCTCCCTGCCCAGGCGCTGCCCCGGCCGGTGAGGCGCGCCCTGCCCCCCAGCGCCGTTAGCAGGCCCAACCGGGGAGCCGCCTTCGGACTCCACGGAAAGTCCGGGTGACGTCAGGGGGTCCGGGGTAAACTTTTTGGAGCCCCGTGGCGGGGGTGGCGGGGGTGGCGGGGGTGGCGGGGAGGAAGGGCAGCGGGGGAAGGAGGGAGGTGGGAGGCAGTGCATGGCCAGGAGAAGTGGGCTCTAACTCTGCTTCCGTCTGCTGCAGGGCGGGGAGGGGAGGGAGGGAGTCCGCAGCCCGGGCCTTTTGTGAGTAAGGACTGTCTCATGCGGCGGTGGATAGATGTGTCCAATCAGAGTTCCCTGTTTATTTTTCCAAATGGGAGCTGGCGAGACCTGAGCCAAATATTTACCCTGATGATTAAGGAAGGGCTGGGAAGATGCAGCGAGGGGCCACATGTTCCTCCTCCTGTGCAGGAACACCTGCCAGGCCTTAGGACAGCTTGCTCTTTGACCTGGTCGCCCAGGCTGGCCTTGGACCCCCTGCGGGCTGCACCTCCCCACCAGACCTAAACAAGGCTTCCTGGGAATCCAGCCTCCAGATTCTCGGCGGGAGAGTAAGGTTGCTGCCCCGCGTCCCCTCCTCTGGTGCTCCCAGGTCACCTCCTGTTTCCCCATACCCTGAGCTCGCCTGCAGGGTGACCCTGCCTGAGCCATTTAACCTCCCTGCCTCCATTTATTCTTCTAAAAGGAAACATGTTGCCTAAATGTTTTCCTCTTTAGTTATCATTCTTTACCTTTTATTATGCATCCCTGAGTCCTGCTGACTTTCTGCAGGTGTTTTCACAGTTTATAGACACAATTGCATATTATGGTCCTTCCTACTGAACTGGGGGACCAGGGGGCCATTATGTGTGTCATTCACCCATACACCCCAGAGCCCAGCAGGGCTCATGCTCTGTCACAACATCCATTCATCCAGCCAGCAATAATTAGTGAGCACATATTAGATGCCGGGCTCTGTCTGAAGTGCCTGGGATACATCTGTGGACGGATAGACAGCGATTCTTCGCGGAGTGAGTGAGTGAGCGAGTGAGTGAATGCAGGAGTGTAATGAGCCTCATAGGAAATGGTAGTTGTAAAAGTGGTCCCGCAGCAAGTGCATTCACCTGACGTTAGCAGAGCGCTTCACTCACAGTGTAAAACTGAACTCACACACTCCGTCACTTAAGTCTTGCATTCATTCAGAAAGCAGTAACGGAATACTTACTGTGTGCCAGGCACAGTGCATAGAGTTTCTGCCTCTTTCGACTTCAAGGGCTAGTGAGGGGAGGCAGCCTCCCCCCCCCCCCCGCCGCCGACAGCTGGAAATGCCTGTAGGGCTTCTAGATGGGAAGGAGGTCTGGAGCCCCTGCAAGACCCCTGCTTAGGGGAGGCTGTTACGGTCCCATTCAGCGGCTAAAGAAATGGAGGCCTGCAGAAGTTAACATGTGCTCTCACGGGGGCCCGGGGTAGAGCCAGGACTCTGTCCAGTCTGTGGGTGTCCGGAGCCCTCGGCTCGCAGCTGCCCCCTGCCTCCATCCGCCCTGCCTTACCCAGCACCACAGGGGAGACAGAACGTCCCCCAGATTTGGACACTAGCAAGTCATTGGTGACTTGAACAGAGCAAGTGGGGTGCCTGCTGCTGTGGCCCCAAGGGGGGGACCATCCCAGCCACACTCAGAAGGGTGTCTGTGGAAAGGATGGGTTAATGGTGTGCAGGGCCCGACCGCGGGGTTTTAGAGGCTGTGGCAGGTGTGTCATGGGTTGAGTCACAGAGAGAAAGGGGTAGGAGACAGGCAGAGAGGAAGAGGTGGGGAAACAGGGCCCCCAGGCAGGGAGAGCGGGGAATGGGCAGAGCAGGGGGAGGGCGAGGCCGTACTCCTCCCCAGGAGGGCTTTCCTGGCAGAAGCACAGCTGGGGAAGGGGCTGGAGTCACCAGGCAGGAAACCGGAGCCCATGTAAGTCCCATTGTTCCCTGAGCACAAGCCTCCTGGGAGGTTCAGGACTCGCTTATACCGCCTCAAACCTGCGTCTCCTGCCTCTGGGTTGGGGGAGTGCCAGCAACTCGTCCTCCAGTGACAATAATAATAGCGGGTGACGTCTGTGGAGCACTTGCCAAGGACACTTACAGAGTCATCTCAGCACAGCCTATGGTAGGCACACTTGTCACACTGTCCCCATTTTACAGATGAGGAAACTAAGGCCGAAAGAGGGGAAGGAACTTGCCAGGGTCCTGGAACCTGTCCAAGTGGCGGGGCTTGGGTGCAGACCCCAGTGGTGTGAATCCAGAGCCCAAGCTCTTGATGGCCTCCCTGGGACTGCCACATCCGAGTTGAATCCAGTGCCCCCATGCTGGGCACAAGGTTCACTTTTCTAAGCACCCCCCAGGGCCACTCTGAGCTTTGCCTTCTCTGGAGAGGCTGTCCCTGAAACCCCGTGAAAAATCCTTCCAGGGTAAGTGCACAGGGAGGAACAGGAACAGCAGTGTGGGTCCCGGCTCCTTGGCGCCCAGCCCTGCGTGCCGGTTGATCGGCTGGGGGGGTGCTCACCTCGGCACAAGCACGTTCTCGAATTGTCCGTCCCTGAAACAGACCGCCCTGGACACCAGAGGAATGTGCTTTGCTGCAGATTTCGGCTGCGGGGCTGGAGGCCAGGGGCTGGATCCGGGACCCACCCAGGAAAGGCTTCTGCTTGACCCGGAGGGGCGCCCCGGGGGCTGTGGGGTGGAGCCCCTGCAAACCAGGTTTGCCCGAGCTGCCAAGCACCCAGATTAAGTCCTGGCTTCCTCTGTGGCTTTGGGGTGGGGTGAGCGCTTCAGAATCAGGAAACACAGAGAGAGGGCAGCAGAAGGGGCCAGGCTTGTTCCACAGCAGCTCCCAGCAGGGTCCTTGTGGGACAGTCCTGAGGTTTTAACCTTTGAGACTTGTTGCTTATCAGTTGGAGGGAGCACAGGAGCAGAATGAGTTAGCTGTGTGCCCGTGAGTTCAAATCTCAGCAACCTCTGTAACCTAGAGCATGAACCTTCTGACATGTTCTCTACGGCTTTATCTCCTTAGCCTGTGTCCTCACCCACAAAATGGGGACATGGCCTTCTGTGTTCCCGGAAGGGTTCCATGAGATAAAGCACCACGCACAGCCTGCTCTACAGCAGCTCACGAGACGTGGATGCTGCGTGTCCTGGCCCTGCGGTTGCATTCAGAAGGCTAGAAAGTTCCCAGCAGCACCACCAGACAGGGCACAACTAAACACTGAACTGCAGAGTACAAGTGCGCTGGGGCTCAGATCCCAGAGATGAGCGAGGGCTGGGCTGTGAAGGAGGGCTTCCTGGAGGAAGTGGCAATGAGTCATGAAACGTGATACAAGGTGAAACAGGAGAGAGTAGGGCGGGAAAGGTGCAAGGAGAGAGGAGGGGGCTGGCATGGCCGGCGGGGCAGCTCTGGAGGGTGAAGGGACCCCACTCCTGGCAGAGAGGTGGCACGTGGCCCCGGGAGTGGTGACATGATGCGGGCTGTCAGCAGCATGGGGCGCTGGGGTTCCCTGGAGCAGGGGTATGAGAAGGACCCAGGGCAATGTGTCTATAATCGCAGAACTTCTCTGGGATTTGGCGGGGGAGCCGCCTGGTGTCCTGACTGCAAAAGCCTGTGCCCGGTGGCCTGATGGCACCTTGTGGGTCTTGTTCTCAGGAGGTCTGCGATGACCCCCAGTTTATCGTTGGAGGAGCCACCCGCACGGACATCTGCCAAGGAGCCCTGGGTAAGTGATGCATCTGACACGGCTGTGGGGTCCCGTCCACAAGGCTGTGCCTTCCCACCCTTCCCAGGCAGCCCAGTGATTTCCATTTCCAGAAGCTTCCTGGAATGTCTGTCCCCCCCAGCCACCCACCCAGGGGCCTATACTGAGGCTCACAGGTGCTCGAGGGCCCCCAATGCCTCCCGTGCCCCTGCTTTGGCCTCCGAGCCTCCTGGGGGCAGCATCACTGGTGGCCGGTGGCGCAGTCGGGCTGCGGGCTGAGGGCCAGGGGGAGGACTCTGGTCTCTGGGGCTCGGGGACCCAGACGGTGACTCAGTGCGAGGGAAGAGGACAGCCGGGCACTGACTGCTGGGAGGAAGTTAAGGCCCCTGGGAGTTCTCAGCCCACCGTGGAGTCACAACAGCGGGAGGCGGGGGAGGCGGCTCTGTCATTGCCACGGCAGGTGCAATGCGCATTTACAGCAGGCAAGTGGGCGGCCAGGGTCCAAGCGCCGCCCTCACCACGGCCTGCGGTCTCCTGTGTCAGTGGGAAAACTCCCGAGTCTGTGAAGGAGCCCTGATGGTGTGGCCTGGAATGTTGTTTAAGATGCTCATGGAATCGCTTGTAATAAATATGGGCCTGTGGTCACCGTGGTCACTGGAGCAGATTACTTGCTCCCATAAACCCATGTTCTGCCATCGGCTTCACCTGCGGCCCACACGGGTCCATTGGGAACAAAACCGATCGACCTGACCTGCGCGTCCTTCCCGGCCCACTCAGCACAGGCCCTGGTGCCCAGAGCAAGAACAGCTGTGTGTCCTGAGTAAACAATACCGTGTGTGCCAGACACGGAGGTGTGACAGTGAAGTCCCCAGGCCCTGTGACTATCCTCCGTGTAAGGTGACACTAAGGCCCGGGGAGGGAGGGCAGAGCTGGGGGTCCACACAGTGCAGACAGTCTGACCCCAGGGCCGTCATGTTAGGCCCTGGGCTATACTTGTGCAAGGGGACCTGGAAAGTTCCAGGCCCTGACTGGGGTCAGGGCTGCTGTGTGAATCATTAGGAAATGCCTCTTCCAGCTGGTCGGAGCCCAGCCTCTGCGTGCTGCGGATGCCTGAGATGCCAGAGCATTCTTGCCTGTGGGGACCCCGCCCCCCCACCCAGAGGATAGAAGCCTAGGGTCCTTGAGCCATTAATGGGACTTAACAGGCCAGGAAGTTGGCAGATGCCTTGGCCAACCCTGGGGTTGGGGGTATCCGGAGACAGACATGGCAGCTGTCACACCCAGCCTGTCACACCAGCCTGCACCCCACACTGGCCCACTCCCCACACCAGCCCACACCCCACACCGACCTGCACCCCGCACTGGCCCGCATTCCACACTGGCCCGCACCCCACACCGGCCCAGACCCCACACCAGCCTGCATTCCACACGTGCCCGCACCCCACACCGGCCTGCACCCTGCACCAGCCCATACCCCGCACCAGCCCAGACCTGACACTGGCCTGCGTTCCACACTGGCCTGCACCCCCACACTGGCCCGCACCCCACACATGCCCGCAGACGCACTTCACAAGAGAGCTCTCTTGTGCTCTCTCTCAAAAAGTGTTAGGACATCTTAAGAGGCAAATTGCAACTACCAAATGCAGGACTTAAGCCTTGCTCAAACACCACCAGGGTTGTGGGGAGGAGACGTGCAGCTTACACTCTGGGGTGAGGCTCCAGAGTCTGCAGTGGATCAAACAGAAACAAGATTGAGTACGATAAGGCCTCTTAAAATTCCCCACTAACCGGTGTTGATGGCTAAGGCGTCTCACACCAGGTCAGTCGTGTCGCCCTCTCAGCCCCTCCTCGGGAGGCTCCGGGTTCAATGGCTACCTGTGAGGTGCGGTTGACAGGACGCTTACCCGGACTCCGGGCACAGGGTGGCAACTGTCACCAAACGCCAGCAGGCTCAGGAGCCTCCAGAACAGGGCACCATGGCAGCGCACCTGGTCACACAAACAGAGGTGGCAGCTTTGCTTTGACTGTAAACAGGTCGTCACTAGGAACCTCCGTCTCTTCTAAAAATGGGCGGGAAAGAGGGCAAATGGCATGGCCTCAGAGATCTCCTGCCACGATGGCCTGCATGCAACTCCCCCAGAACTCGACTACTAATTAGTACTGGAAATAAGTTTTAGATGATTTAAAACTTTAGTAATGTTTGTTTATTTTTGAGAGACAGAGCCTGAGTGGGGGAGGGGCAGAGAGAGAGGGGGACACAGGATCTGAAGCAGCTCCAGGCTCTGAGCTGTCAGCACAGAGCCCGTCGCAGGGCTCGAACCCAAGAACTGTGAGATCATGACCTGAGCTGAAGTCGGACGCTTAACCGACTGAGCCCCGCCGGTGCCCCTAGATGATTTAAATGGTAGTTTTCAAAAGTCATTTGTATAACAGATGCCTTTTAAAAAATGTAATAGACCTTATTTTTTAGTGAAGTTTTAGATTCACAGAAGAGTTGAAAAGACGGTAGAGAATTCTGTTCACTTCCCCCCCATCTCACGGTTCCTGCACTTGTTACATTAATATACGTCATCGTTAAGTCTCTACACTTTTAGATTCACGTCCTGACTCTGCTCCAGGACCCCAGTCAGTGACCATGTCAGATTTAGTGTCATGTCTGCTTGACTCCTCTGGGTGGCAGGTTCAGATTCTCCTTGCTTTGTACAGACTTTGTAGGATGTCCCTTTATTGAATTTGCAGGTGCCTTTTTAAAAACTAATGCATGTAGTTTAAAAAAAAAAAAATGACGGGGGCGCCTGGTGGCTCCAGCAGTTAAGCACCCAGTTCTTCATTTTGGCTCCAGTCGTGATCTCAGGGTTCATGGGTTCGAGTCCCATGTTGGGCTCCATGCTGTCGGTGCAGAGCCTGCTTGGGATTTTCTCTCTCTCCCTCCCTCCCTGTCTCTCTGCCTCTCCCCCACTCTCGAGCTCTCTTGTGCTCTCTCTCAAAAAAAGGACTAAAAATTAAGTGTCAGCTGTTTCGATGGAGAAAGTAAATACCTTCCCTTCTCTGTCTCAGCAATGCTGGCTTCTCGGCCAGCCCCATCCTCACCGCCGGCGGGCCTCTCCGGCTCCTGCGGCAGATGGAGGGGATCATGAGTCATTTCCTCCAGGCCTCCCCGCCAGTTGTAAGCGCTCTGTCAGGGCTTCGCTCCCAGAGCCCCTCCTGCCACCGCTAAGCCGGGAAGTCTGGAGCGCAGGGCCTGCTGTTTGCCCTGGCGGAGGTGGGGGCTAGAGGGATGTCCCTGTCCTGCCTGGCTGCCCCAGCCTGTGACCACACAGCAGGATTCCTGACCTCCATACCCGGGAGTCCTCCCCCAAAGGAACCGCCCCCTGGTTGCACACACTTGCAGCGGAAGTCCCCCAGTGCCCGAGAGTTTACAGCCCCCCCCCTTCTCCCCGCCGGCCTCAGATCGCAGTGACTGTGCCCTGTGCGGTGCTCCCTCGGATCGGATTTTCCTGAGGCCCCACCACTCCTGATGGTGAGAATATGCAGACCCCAGTCCCTCCCGCGCCCATCACGGGGCTCAGTGCGTGTCTGTGGCAGTAACGTCCCTGCTCCAGGGTCCAGGGAGCCCTGCTCCATCACGCTCCAGTGTGCGGGCAGTGGCAGTGCAGGCAAGGGGGCCCCCGGAGGAGGCCCACGCCGCATCCGGCGCCTGGCCCGCGGGTGTGCGGCAACGCTGCAGGACGTGGTCCGCGTCTGCACCCTCCCCCACCACGCCCCCATCTCCCACCACGGCCCCCCGCCCCCGCTATGGCGGCACGAGCCACGTGGGAGCCCTTGAAGAGGGACGATCGCAAGCGAGGAACTGAGTTTTTGATTTTTTCAAGTGTAGACGTTTAGAGCCTCATGCGTGTCACAGCTACAGCGTGGGGGGCGCAGCAGACCATTGAGGGTTGGGGTCCCGCCTTCTGACCCTTACCCTTGGACGGGACGGTCCCCACAGGCCTGCGCATCCCCACCTGAGCCCAGTAACAGGTGTAACCAGCGTGTCGGGAGTGAGCAAGCGCACGTCCGCACGTAGTCAGGCAGAGCGAGGACTCGGCTCCGCCCCCCCCGGCTCTTGCCGTGGGCGAGTCCCACCTCCATCTTCCGGCCTCTGTGGCCTCCATCCTTGTAAGGGGGTGGTAACGGCAACCCCCGCGGGGCCGAGATGACACCAGCGAAGCCCGCCTGCCCGTGGCACAGGCCTTAGTGGCTGCAGGTTGGAAGTTGTCTTCTGGGACCAGCAGCCCAGGTGAGGCTGGGGGGTGCGTGTGCCTGCGTGACTCGGTTTCTCCATCCGGCTGAGGGCCCGCAGGGGCTCCGGAGGGGAGGTGCCCCCTCCTGTGGGCTGTGGGGGCAGCAGGGACAGGGGAGGAAGGGCGTGGGTCCCCGAGCTGGGACCACAGAGGAAACCGGCACCCAGTGGCTTCCTCCTCTTGGTCTGGGCGGCAGGGCTCCCTTCCGAGCATCCCTGGTCCAGGCAAGTTCAGAGTGAGGCTGGGAACTTCAGGGCTGTGTCCTCAGCGCCGCCGCGCCCCCCCCCCCCGGCTTTTAGGGCCCCACTCCAACAGGAAAGGGGAGGGCTGGCTCCCGGCTGGTGTTAACCAGGGTGGGCACCAGCAAGAGCCCTCCCGGACCCCTTCCCCGCGGCCGCTGATTTAATGAGAAGTGATTGAGCCTCCTCTGGGGAGGATTCTGGTTTGGGGTTACCCTCCTCTGGGCCGCTCTTGGCATGAAACCGTCACGGAAGGGACACCCCCAGTGACTCATTAGCCACCATCTCCAGGCCTGGGCCCCTGGCAGGGTGTGCGTGTCTCCAGGGTGACCTGGGGGTGGGGTCTCCCATTTGCTGGACACTGAACCACAGGTGTGTCCGCAAGGGTCAAACATGGCCGGAAGCAGCCACGGCATCTTGGTCTGTTTAGTGTTTCTGTGGCCGTCGCCATGGAAAGCACAGGAACGGAGGACCCAGGCAGTGAGACCCAGGTCAAGCA